ACAAATTTCATGCACCAGGCCTCTAGTTTTAAAATAAAATAAAATGAATGTAGAGCTTTGAAATGAAATTGACCAGGACAGGAAGTGCTTATATGATGTATGGAAATGACACCCAGTCCCTTAGAGGTGGGCAGTTTAGCTTTGGCTCTCACTTGAAAACCCCTGAATCTTCCCATTACTACCTAATTCACTCCCAGAAGTCAAAACTGCAGCCTGCTAATCTGCCCTGTCATAGGCTTTTCTTGAGTCCTTATCAGCCTTCCTCAGTGGGTAATGTTATGAAGACTGGGAGAGTCTGGCAGGGTTCCTGCTCCTCCCAGGCTGGTATCAAAGAGCCACAGGACTGTGACAGAAAGCAAACATTCAGAGGAAAGCCAGATGTGGAACTGAAACAACAAGAGGAGAAGCAAGAGTATCAGGTAAAAAAAAATTTTTTATTTTTCATTTAAAAAACCTCATCCATCTCATCTTAAGTGCAGTTTATGTCTGAGGGTATGAAGGGCTTAGTAAAATAATAGCTACAGGATGATGAGTGAGAAATTTTGGGAAAAGCAGAAAGGCTATTCATATGGAGCTTGAATCTCAGAAAGCAATGTATTTATCAGTTGTTAACAGCATTAGTAACATCAGTGAGACTTGAGAGTCATGATAGTACAGGTCTGCTAGTTCAAAAGCAATTAGGTTTGTCCTGTGAATCCAGCAGGTGGAAATTATAGGGAGACAAATTACAGTTGAAAACGAGGGAAACCCTTTCTAACAGAGCTGTCAGAAAATAGAAGGGACTAATTTGGTGGGTAATAAGTTACTCATCACTGGAGGTGTTCAAGCAGTTGCTGGAAAGAAATTTGTTGGGAGTTGGGAATATTATACAGAGGATTTAAGAATCAGATGAATGGTTGGACCTGGAGATCTTTAAAGTCCTTTCCAACACTTCTGTGACTCTATGACATGAATAGAATGTTAATCAGAAGTTTCTCTGTAGAGCCAGGCATTTACATTTACCTGCTCACATTTGAAAAAAAAAAATCACCATGTTGATTCTGGTATACCTGGCAGAAGTGAGAAGGCAACCATAGCAAACTATGGCAGAAGAGGATATATGTCCTGTTGAATGCCTGCTTCTTTCTCTCTCTATGAGCGTAAACAACACCCACATGGCCTCTCCTTTGCAAAGATTACATAGAAAAAATGGGTTCTCTTCTTCTACAGGAAGAATTTGGGTTTGGGTTAGTAAACATCTTATTTTGCAGTTAACAAAAACTAAGGGAGCCATGTCTGAAATATTTTCTTCAGAGCCCTGATTTC